CCTGGAAAACAAATAAAATAACACAAATTAATATTTAATCAAATAGGGAGAAATAATGAAAGAGAAAATTAAAAGAGAGGAGATTGAAAAAATATCAACCTAAAATTATATCAATAATGTAATTATAAACACATATAAACAATTAATCTAGTAGCATTGAATGGAAGAAAAAGAGGAGGCAATAGCCTGAGGAGAAGAAAAAGAAGAAGAAGAAGAAGAAGAAGAATAAGAAGGAAGACAAGAAGAAATAAGCCGAGTAGAGTTGTGGGGTATATATATGGCGACTTACCCATGTGTAGTTAGTTGGTATTACTTTCACCGACAAAGATCACATGGGTAAGTGACTGAGAGCGGGAATCAAAATTTTTGCAATCCGCGCCCAAATTATCGACCAGCTTCCTGTTGGTATGTTTTTGGTGACTTTACCGACAAGATACAAGTTGGAAACTGTGACTTTACCGACAAGATACAAGTTGGAAAGTGATTTTACCGACTAGGAGTACGTTTCTAGTATGGCCAGTAACAATTCAGCAGCTTCCTCTCCAGATTTCGTCCATTTTGCCTAAGTTCCTTTCTAGATTTTGTTTTCATGCCATTTTTCTGAATTTTTGTAACAGATTTCTTAGATGTTAGTGGACATAAAATTTAAAAAAAAATTATCAAAATTCCCCCTTATATATGATAAAAGGTATTTTAAAAAAAAAAATCTACATTTGCAATACTACAATTTTGTGATAAAAAATGCAATAATTTGAAATTTATTCAATAGATTTTTTGTAATTTGGTCATTTTAGTTGGTATAAATTCTAAAAAAAATTTGACAGAGTTTCCCCATACATATGATCAAAACCAAATTTTTTTACCTGCATTTGTAATGAAAAACACATATATTCTACAAGTCTAATTTGCTAAAAACAATTATACCTTTTCAACCACAACTACAACCACAAAGTATATATGGCAATCACACACCATTGTTTTAAATACCCACGATATTTAGTTAATAATAATTAACCTCCTAAGCAGTCCAAAACTTCATACCTTTTTAAGTATGATCACTAGAGGTCAAGCAAAATAAGAAAATATATCGTAATAAAAGCTAAAGCTAACAGTTTAAAGTATTAATAGAAATAAAGCCAACCATGCAAAGTATGCAGATAATGTGCGTAGCAGAAAAATAAAAAAACTAAGGACCCTAATAGTCTGGATCAAAAGTAGGATGGTATGCATCATCATCTTGAGGCGGAAACTGCCGCTACTGCTGATATTCAGGGATCATAGGAGAGGTTTGTGTAGAATCAGTGCAGTAGGTGAAAGCTAAATTCATGCGAAGACTTGAGCCAGGACCATGTGACGGCTGTGGTGGGGCAACTGGATGATGACCTGCCTGAGGGGAGATGCCATGAGCGACTAGAGCTGCTGCAACAGACTGTGCAATTGTTTGGCTCATATTATTCTGAGCTTCTGTTGTTTTGGCCAGCTGTTGTTGCATCAAAGCAATTTGTTGGCGTTGTCTTTCTAACTCCTCATGATCTTTTGCTTGTGTCTCCTCATAGTCGGATGCCATCAGTGCTACTATTAAGTTTTCTCGGGGTTGTCTCTTCTTGTAAGTAAAACCAACCATCTCTGGATTTACTTGGGAGCCAATCCCTGGCATGAAATTAGATGAGCAACCTCTAATAGCCTTAACCCATGCCTCGTTATCCATGCGTGGCCACGAACTAGCATCAGAGCCATGACTATCTGTGCACTCCGCAACATAAGTATCCTGAAAAAATAATAGTAATAGTAATAATATTGTCAAAAGTAGTTTGAAAAGAATTTATAAAAAAAAGTAGACTTTGCTAAATAATTTAGATTAATTATATAAATTTTTTTCACACTTATAACTATACATTTTATGCTAATTTATATGTTATATATACTTACATATCGATACTTTGCTTTTTCATTGATCCACGCCGACTCTTGATCCTTTCCCGCCTTTTTTCTAAAGGTGTGCATCTCCTTGAATTTCTCCTGATGGGGAGGTTGCACACCACCTCTAGACTCAGTCTATATTTCAAAATATTGATAATGCAATATATTGGTTAGTATAAATTGACACAATTTATTGTTAAATAAAATCTAATATATTAAATTTTTTATTAATTAAGCTTGATTACCATCCGCATCTTATGGATGCCAAAGCTAATGGATCTAGTGGTGTGAGTCACCCTTTCCCTAGAGCTCCTATTCTTTGCTCCCCTTGCACTGAGCCTCTTATATTCATCAGAGTCTCAATATGTCAGTAGCTAAGGCCATATATGAGTTGGGATCCAACATGGGACATAGGCTGGGTTCTTGTCCCATTTCAACTTCTCATCCCTGAGATTGTCACTCCATCTATGTTTCATACAATTTAGGAATGCGTCTCGCACATGGCGATTATCTGTAGGATTCCACTGGTAAAGTGTCTGCAAAATAAGAAATAAATAACATTAGATGTCTGAGAAATGTAAATTCTAATTTAGTAATGAAATTATTTATTTTTATTAGAAATTGCTAAATCCATTCATTTTATTAAGGTTAAAACCCCTTTTTGGTCCCTCAACTATTGTAAGGTTAAAACCAAATCGGGGGTCCGTACAATAGTTGAGGGACCAAAAAGGGGTTTTAACCTTTTATTAAATTTGCTAAAACTTAATCTTACTTTGAAACAATTATAAATTTCAGCAATCTTGCTTTGGGGGACACGCTCGTATGTGAAATACGGGCCATCAAAACATGACTTCCATAGTGAAGTGATAGCTCGAGGGATGTTTGGATCAACAAAGTGGAGCTTATCATCAGTGAGTTTAACCCATTTCCTGCTCTCTCTATTTTCTGGAAGGCGTATTCCTTTGAAATTCCTGCTTTGTCCTTTTTTCCCCGTCGAGGATGAAGGGCCCTTGTTCTCATGATTAGGTGCAAAATTATAATTCGTTAATGGATCAATCGTTTGTTGTATATCCAGATCTATGCTACTATCAGTAAACAGCTGTGGGTGATTAAAATTGTGTTGCTCTTGTGATCCTGAGAAGGAAGATCTCCTCCTTGCTGAACCTGCAGGATTTCTAGACATCCTGAAAAATGAATAACAAAATAGTTATTAATACATTTATATAAATAATAACTAACAAATTTAGAACAATCATACAATGATTCTATTTTAAATGAAAAATATATAACTTGATAAAACAATATATGTAAGACAAAGAAATTTTAATACATGTATTTAATAAGTAATAATACAAATGTTTCAATTAATCATCACTATCATCGCTATCATCACCATCCTCAACATTATCACTATTTCCTGAGGATTCTAAATCTTTTTCTTCTCCATAGTCCTCTTCTTCTTCAGATGTATTAGCATCAACCTCAACTTCTATAACACCTTCTGCACATAGTTGAAGTGATTGGTATGCAGTTAAATCTATAGCTAATGAAGAGCCTTGCATTATGGAGGGGTCATCATCTTGAAAAATATCATCAACCTCTCCTGAAGATGAGGTAGATGAGACCTCAATTAGATGTCTAGATTTGATTTTACATGCTGCCAACCATCCCCGGGTAGTTTTATCCGTGGCTGCCGGATATGGAGTATAATAAACTTGTTGTGCTTGACTAGTAAGGCAAAATGGCTCCCCCGTTGAAAGTTTAAACCTTGGATTAACATCAACAATTCCGTGTTCAACATTGACACGTATTCCTCAGTTCGTGTCATACCAATCACAATTAAATAATATTATAGTCTCTTGATGGCCTGAGTGTCCATAATACAATAACTC